GGTCTTAAGCGCTGCTAGTCCCTCACTGCTTCCACACCCACGTCCTCTCAGCCTCCCACTCTTACTATAGACTCTTGGACAAGATCCTGGTTTGGGGAGAACGCCAAATGTGAAGGGGGCCCTCTCAGGGGGGCATGATACTGCCTCTTCGGCTCACTGGTGCCCCTCTCAGCCTGGAAACAGCTCATTGCTGATCGAGGCCTCGTCAGTCTTGGGGAGAGGTAGGACCGCTGGTTCCTCACTTTCTCGAATTTGTAAGTAATTCAGGCCTATAAAAATCCTAACAGAGTATGCTAGCTAAGGCATAGCCAAGGCCCGTGAGCTTGTTAATTAAGCCTCCGTTAACCCAACAAACAACCTCGATGGCTTTATTTTGGCTTGAAGATAGTGCTATAAAAATCCCCACATTGGCCACAAATCCACTCAGTTGCCACTGGTCCCCCACTCCAGAGACAGCGGGGCCAATGAGCATGAGCCGTACTGATTGACCACCATGGCCTTTCCTTCGTCGTGTTTTTTTTTAATTTTTTTTTTTTAACGTTTTATTTATTTTTAAGACAGGGAGAAACAGAGCATGAACAGGGGAGGGTCAGAGAGAGAGGGAGACGCAGAATCTGAAACAGGCTCCAGGCTCTGAGCTGTCAGCACAGAGCCCGACGTGGGGCTCGAACTCACGGACTGCGAGATCATGACCTGAGCCGAAGTCGGCCGCTTAACCGCCTGAGCCCCCCAGGCGCCCCTCCTTCGTCGTGTTCTAATTCCGCTTTCTATTGAGAAGGGTCTGAATGCTGTCCTTTTCCTTATTTCTGCCATCTGCCTCGCCATTTTCGTCGCCACTTGAGACGTAGTGGGAGCTAGTGCCGTGACCTTGAGCCCTTCGGCCATTGAATTGAATCTATAAAGCCAGGAGTCACTATGATCCTAACGAGCTACACAAATCTTCCACTTTGTGCGTAGTCCTTCCCGTACCCCTGAGCGTTCAAACTACTAGCCCGAGGTAGGAACCCTGGAAGAGGCACATTGCCGTCTATTTTAGAAGATGCCACGTTCCATGAAGCTGAAGGAGGCGGATAGGTTTTTATCACTTGGGTATTTATAAACCTTTACATTCGATTTCTCTTAGCCATCAGTCAGTGGGCATCAGGGGGTGGTATGAGGCAGAAAAGCAGAATCCCTCCGTGCTTTTTCTTGGCTCCCCCGCTGCCCTGCTGAAAACATTTGGGTTTCTCTTCTTGTCACTGCTTAGCGCCAGAAAAGTGGTAGAGTGTTGTCGTCTGTGGCCGTAGACAGCCACATTATAGAAAACGTTTGCCTTCCTGCCAGTTGCTGGCTTGTGGACCATCCTGCGGCTGTGGGGGGGGGGGGGGGGGGGGGGGGGGGGGGCGGCGGCAGGGGGAGGAAAAGAAAAAATCAAGTGCCTCGATCCCACAGCCCATTTACCAAGGTGGATTATATCTCTGGGCCGTGGTAGCCGATGTTCCAGTTTCAGGTTTTTATTGGCACCGTAAACAAACAAGCCAGCGAACTATCTGGGCAACTGTGGGCTACAGCCATTGCCATTCATATCCCATTTCTTCCTGCAGCAGCTTATGTGCAAAAAAGTTCTCAGTGGCGTGGCACACGGAATAGGGAAGATCTTTTTATTGCCTTCAGTCCTATCCAGTGGATAGCATTGCTGTCTCCAGCCCCTTCTGACAATGGACGGTCCGTGTCCCCGAGGAGCGCGTCGTCATCCTGTGTGACAATCCTCGTCTCTTTTTGCTCTAACCCTTTCCTGTAGAGAGTTTCCAGCAGCAGGCGGTTACGTTTCTGCCAGGGAGAGAGAAATAATAAAGGCAGCTATTCTACTTTTACTGAATGTGAAGGGCTCAACGGCGTAATTAAATCCATAAAACGGTGAGTCACGATCACGGCGCACCAGCCAGCCAGGAAGCGAGGGACGGAGCTGAGGTTGATTTGCGACCAGCAGCTGATCCTGTTCCTCCAGTAGCACTCGTGTAGGCCTCTTCCTGATTTCTGGGCACCAAGCGCCTCATTTCATTTTTAAGAACGCGAAGCTTTAATGAATGTTCCAAAGCTTGCCCAAGGAAACATCTAATCTGAAAAAGATGTGGTTAAGCCTGGTAGATGTCTGTCTGGAAGGTCTGCTCTCTTGTCAATTAACCAGAGTCTGCCTCCGAGAAAAAGGGAATCCTGCCTGAGGTGCTTCCAGATGGCCTTTTTGTCGTGGAAGATGGTGGCGTTCGGAAGCTTCTGGAAGTCCATTTCGCCACTAGGTAATTTGAGGGTATGTGAGCATTAAGCTTAGCATAGGTTATGGAAGGTAGTGAAACACCGTAAGAAAACGGTATTTCAAAACCTTGCTTTGCAACTGGCATGCAAACATTCTTGATTTTCTGTGAAAGATTATAAGGTGAAATTTGTGTTGTCAGTGGCCAACACCATTCATGTGAGCATCAGGGAACGGAAGAAGTTTATATAAGGTGTTTCTTCGCCTTCTGCAAAGAGGCATCAGCATGTGTGACAAGGAAAAGAAGGCTATAACTATATGTTTGTGTGTATACTTGCTCACACGCTAGGAGAAGAAAAGTGAAAGCCAAGGTGGCTTAGAGAGGAGCCATGTTTAAAACCGTTTAGAACTTTTATAACTTGGAAACAAAGGAAAGCTCCGGAGGATGGTTTGTGAGAAAACAGACCAAATGTCCGTTAACAAGAATGAAGGCAACGGTGGAAGATACAAAAATGTTCATTGGCCTCCTAACTCTTTTCCCCTTTCAACACACATTTTAGGGCGACTGGGTGCCTCAGTCGGTGAGCGTCTGACTTCAGCTCAGGTCATGATCTCATGGTTTCTGGGTTCGAGCCCCGCGTCGGGCTCTGTGCTGACAGCTTGGAGCCTGCTTCAGATTCTGTGTCTCCCTCTCTCGCTGCCCCTCCCCTGCTTATGTGTGTGCGCGCTCGCGCTCTCTCTCCAAAATAAACAAACATTAATTAAAAAAAAAAAAAAACACATATTTTAGAATGGCACTCTTCTCTTTCAAAACGATACACCTTATGAAATCCGGCACCAGATGACTCTGAAGGAATGGGTTTTAGTGAATCAAGTTCTGGCCCGCGCGCGTCTCAAAATCTCAGCACCTTTGTCATCAGGCGCTCCACGTGAGGTCAAACCGTTTTGCGAGCGTTTGGGAGATTTTCCACCCAGACATTTGCAATCATTGCCTTGTTCTTTCTTATCTTCCTCTTGATTTTCGTGGTTTTTGTTTCCAATCTCTTGCTTCTTAACCTCGTTAAGCACCTGCAGAGACCTTGCAGGATTGGTCTGTCACTCACCATTTGCACACATAGCCTGCCCAGCATTCCAATGGACTCTTCTGGGGGATAAAGCACCCTGGTGAGCATTGTTCTACTGACTCCTCTCTAGTGAACACAGGTGAGGTGCCCAGAGCATTTCTCAGAAACACAGCTATGCTTTGGGGGTAACAGCCAACTTGGGTGAGTGTGAGGAGAGGTTGTATTTGAACACTAAGCTTCCCTTGAAGAGTGGTTGCCGGTATTTAGAGATCCGTGGGTCGTGGGTCGTATCTGCAGGCGCGTGATCTGCAACCAGCCTCAGTTGCTTATGTAACCATTGTGGGAGGGAGAGGAAATGCAGAGTTATTGATCTGTTCTCACTCGTGCTGCCAAAACCCGGAGACCCGACTTGATGGAGCCATTCAGAGAAGCTTTGTCTCTTGTTTCAGAATTGGGCTTCGAGGACCTGCAGTGGCAAAGACCCAGGAAGTGGGAGTTCAGAGTAGTATGTGTCTGAAATTCTTGGCATAGGAAAAACAATGAAGTGAACATGCGATTCTTCACTTTGGCACCAAGAATAAAATTGCCACCACTTCCCAGTGCGAGCCTGGGAGTCAGAAAGCGTTGGAAGTGGATTGTTATGCTATCATTTTTGCCACCCGTGCTCTATGCCACCACGTCTGCACCCCCACCCCCGTCACCTGTTAATGTGCTTTGGGGTTAGTGCGTGTATCTTACATCTACCACGTGCAATAAACACTTCCTGTACAAAGGTGCTTGAAACAACATCTGTCATTACATCAAAGAAGGTGTTATTGCCCAAGTGCAGCTGGAAGAGTTCTAATAACGAGATGGCTTTAAATGAGGTTATAATGAAAAAGAAATCTGTGTGAAATGCCTGGACCTTTTTTTCGTGGAAAATAAGCTGTGTTCAGTTTTCCCCCTTTTATAGTCTCCCCATACAAACGTCGCCTTTGCCTGTGTTGAGCGCAGTCTTTGTTCGACGTGAGAAGCTGGAGAATACGCTTCTGGTTGTGAAAAGTGCACTTTTTGTGCGTGCCATGTTGGAGAAGCACCATTAAAGAAGGTTGCTATGGTGTTGAATTCTCTCTTCGGGGGGAAAAGCCCCTCTGATGAATGTGAGATTTGTGGATTCTGAGCCAGCATGAGCATTCCTGATTGAGAGTCTAGAAAAGGTTATAATAAACTCATTATATAATTAAAAAGGACAAGAGCTACCCTCCAGAATGTGAATCCAAACCCAGAAAAGTGTTCAGTGAACAAGAACAATACTCAGTCGATTTTCAAATTGATGGAGCTTTCCAATGGCAACTAATTTGTTCCAGCATTCAAGTGAGCATAATTAACAGAGACTTTCTTTCTTAGGCCGATTACCCTCCCCAAACCATGCCAACATTGTAACTGTAAGCAGTGAAAACCAATATTTATGAGGGGGATTGTGCAAGAGTTTGTGTGACAGATGGACATTTTATCACTGTTGATGTTTGGAATTCCCTTGAAAAGTAATGTAATATCTTGTTATTTATGAATGAAAGGACAAATGATTGTGCTTTGCTGTCTGGGTTTTCTTTAAAACGAGGTATGTTAAATCTTTCTCTCTGTTTAACCTCGATTACGTTAGGTACCCTCGTATATTCTGATGCAAAAGCTGAAAAATCGTAAATGTGTTTTTGTTACAGATACAGATCCACGTGTTTTAGAAAAACAAGAATTACAGCAGCCAACCTATGTTGCCCTCAGTTACATTAATAGGTAAGCCGTTTTCAGAATTTATAGCAACCTCGTATCTACCACGTGTTTATTTTTTAAATGCATCTTTTTAGCGGTAGAAAAAATTGCTTTCTCCCAGTCTTCAAATATTTACTGGAGATTATTTCACATCAACCTCTATACAGCATTTTCTTGTTTCTCTGTTGCAAAGATGTAGGATTGTAGTTCTCTGTGCATATGGCTGAAAACATGACTGATTTATAAGCTCATTCTGGAAGTATTTTGTATGCAGACTTAGACTATGCTCTTTTGACTTCATAGGGCAGTTTGGGAGATTAATGGATTTATGTTTGAGTGAACCTTTTAAACCCTCAGGTGAACGGGTACTTTATGAATTCAGAACATTGTTGGAATAGCAGAATATATCTGCATATAACAAACTGAAATAATTTAATATCCGAAAGTTATTTAGTAGCAGCTCCTTTGTAGTAAAAACATTCTCAACAAGCGACCCCCATCTGTGTGGAGTAACAGGAGTTTTTCCTGAAACTGACCGTGTGAGCATGACTTTAGAGAACACTTAGAACTTGATACGAGTCTGACGGAGGACCTGGTGTTTTCAGCCAACGTAAGTGATTAAGGAGACCGTGATTTCTGGAGACAACCTAAAATCAACTCATGTTAAGAAAACACACATCCCCAAAGAGAAAAAGGCAACATAAAAGCAAAACTGGTTTTTAATGAGAATGAGATACTCTGCTCCTAATTCAGTGCATGTATTTCTGTCAACTGCCCCCCCCCCTTTTTTTTTTATATGAGGCGAAGAGTGGTTTCAGTCTCTAGGTTCCAGAACTGAGGTTCAGGGTCTGGAGTAGAAAATGGGGAATGAATGATCTGTGTTGTTTCACTTCGACGCATTTTGGGGGGAAAACTTACTTAAATCTTCAGAGAGCTTTGAGTTAGAGTTGCGTGTACTCAGTTCCACTTTCTTTTACAAAGCAGGTTTTTAAAAGGATTCATTAACATAAACATCTATTTGCATATTGCCTTTGGATTTCTTGCTTATCAGCCTTGCCTGGAAGTGAGATAAAGTATCTACAGTTTCTTAGTGCCCATAATTTTTGAAATGGTTTAAGTAGAATACCTTCAAAATCACACCAGATACAAATACAGGTGTTATATGCTTGTCTGAATTTCTCAGAAAACTGGTTTCCCAGGATTAACATGGGTCTTAAAGGCTTTAATTGTACTTTAGAATTATGTGTACGTAACATAGGTTAAGTAGCCTACTAGTATTGGGCAGTAGGATCTATAGGCTTATGGACTGTGACATTGAATAGGATTAGTGTGGCTCCTGTTTTAGGTAAAATAAGTTACCTACATTTATACAGGTATAAATACCAAACTTTAATCCAATAAGAATGTGTGAGATTTAAAAAAAGGTTTTTTTAAAATGGTTATTAATTTTTGAGAGCGAGAGAGCATGGGGGGGGGGGTGTGCGGGGAGACACAGAATCTGCAGCATTGCGCTCCAGGCTCCAAGCTGTCAGCACAGAGCCCGACATGGGGCTCGAACTCACGAACCATGAGATCATGACCTGAGCCAAAGTCAGACGCTTAACAAACTGAGCCACCCAGGCGCCCCTGGAATGTATGAATTTTTTGTATTCAGTCATTCATCATGTTGTCAGACATGTAGGCTGTAGCGATTTACTCATTACAGAGGCATCATACTCACCAAAGAAATATTCTGCCAGGTGTGACCTAGGACTACAAAAAAAGACAATAGGGACAAGGGCCACACCCAAAAACCACCAGAGAATTTGAGTCAAGTATGATAGTTTAGCATAAACTGGACAGTGGGATAAGCCTGAATCCCAAAGTCTTGGCATAGGAAAAACAATGATGTGAACGTGAGATTCTTAACTCCGAATTCACCATATCCTGCCCTAGAGGACACAGAGTAGACGTACAAGGGGATTGATAGGTTTGCTGGTGATCTCTAGGTTAAGAGAAGGACTGTGCATGGACGGTTGCCCAGGTTACTAACCACCTTTCTCCCTCGAGATCCCTTTGTGCACAGTGCCACATTTGTAACATGGTACTTAACACCTGATAGACACTCTGGGTATTTGTAGGTGATAGATAAACACCTAGTAAATGAGAGGGCTGAGCAATGAATGAATAGCTGCAAGGCGGAAGCCAAGTCTGGCCCCAGGGAAAGATATGCTAAAAGGCGCCTTAGGGCCCTTAGACACAGAAGGGAAACCTTGAAATTCACATGAAGCCAGTACAAGAGTCAAGAAGAGAGCCACAAGGGTTAGGTAATTGGAAAGAAAGCTTGACGGCAATATCCTGAAAACAGCAGAAAAGAGCACTATTGAAAAAAAAAATAAAGTTGAACAAATAAAGATTTTTTTTTTCCCTCAAACCTCAGGGGAAAATAAAGTCTAATTTTGCTGAGCAGCGAAGACAAAAAAATCTCTCTGCTCATATACCTGTTTATACAACTCTAATGTACGTTTGAACGTCTCAAAATTGAGATGAAACTTTCTTTGGCAAGAATATTGCTAAAGACTGAAATCTACAGAGTTTGGGGTCCTTAAAAATGGAGCTAGCTCTTTGGATTATAAAAAGAAAAGAGCCGAGTGGAAACTGGAGCCTTTATTTATACTTATTTTATTAAAAAAAATTTTTTTTTAGGGGCACCTGGGTGGCTCAGTCAGTTAGGCTCAGGTCATGATCTCACGATCTCTTCAGCTCAGGTCATGATCTCACGGTTCGCGGGTTCGAGCCCAGCGTCATGCTCTGTGCTGACAGCTCAGAGCCTGGAGCCTGCTTCGGATTCTTTGTCTCCCTCTCTCTCTCTGCTCCTCCCCCACCCATGCTCTGTCTCTGTCTCAAAAATAAGTAAACATTAAAAGAGAATTTAAGATTTTTTAAATTGTAGGTAACTACACCTATTTCAAATATCTTTACTCTTGAACATAACGTGTCGAACAAATCTTGAATTCCTTGAAAAGCGGGTCTGTTATAACACCTGAGCAAACTGTAAAATGTAAGTGGCTTAATAAGAATGAGAGAGACTGAATGAATTAGTAGGGTTATGGGAACAGTTTGGGGGCGGGGGGAGCCGGATATGAGCTTTAAGGACACGAAACTCCGTTAATTTTGTCGTGTGAGGATCAACGAGAAGTCCATGCATGGGAAATTTAATTACTTAGTCTGTATAACATGCAAATGCCTGGAAAGTATAAAGGGTAAGAAGAAAAGCTACAGATTTTGAATCAGAGAATAATGTAGATACAGTACTAGAAGGAACGAATGTAACACTTCTTTTTTTTTAAATTTTTTTTTTCAACGTTTTTATTTATTTTTGGGACAGAGAGAGACAGAGCACGAACGGGGGAGGGGCAGAGAGAGAGGGAGACACAGAATCGGAAACAGGCTCCAGGCTCCGAGCCATCAGCCCAGAGCCCGACGCGGGGCTCGAACTCACGGACCGCGAGATCGTGACCTGGCTGAAGTCGGACGCTTAACCGACTGCGCCACCCAGGCGCCCCCGAATGTAACACTTCTTATGCTTGGAACTCGATGCTGAGCGTTTTTTTACATTATTTGAGTCTTCTCAATAACCACGTGAAGTAGGTACTGTGATGATCTCCACTGTGCAGGTGCAGAAGTGGTGACACAGAAGTTAAGTGGCTTGTCGTAGGTCCCCAGGTGGTATGCAGGGGAGTATTGTGTTCAAACCTTCACTGCCAGACTCCAGAATCTGGGTTCCTCATCACTGTACCGGCTGATTTGTTGGAAGATCAGAGGGAATTTGGAAAGCTAAGGCTGGAAAAATACGGTTGGACAGCCGGGAAGAGGGGACACAGACCTAAGAATCAGAGTAATTGCCATGCTGTAGATAACCGGAGGGTCACAGCCTAATAAAATCAAACCTTAGGAGACAGCGGGAGCCAAGCCTGCTAGGAGCGAGGTCCACCAGGGAGGCCTAAATGGCACGTCACTACTGGGAAAGTGAGCGAGGGTGCTAGGCACATCCTAGCATAGCAGGCCTCAGCTGTGCAGGGGAGGAACATGTTCCCATCTCCAGAGGAGAGAAAGGGCGGAGCTCGTGACTTTAGGGGAAACCATCTAACGCTCAGCGTTGGTGACTCCCCCGAATGGGTAACGGAGCTAACTTACAGACGAGGTAACCTACATGGCCGTGGCTGTTAGTTGCGTTATCTTTTCTACAAAACGTTCCTCTGAAGATGAAGTTTCCAAAGTTTAAAAATACGTGTATCACTTTGGCGAATGCTGTAAAGGGATATCCTGCCTAGGCGCAAATTGGTACCTTCTTGCAGTCAATCCTTGTTATTTACTACCTAATAAAAGTTTGATATTTTCTTGCACCTAAACTACAGCTCTACTGAAATTCTCTTTGTAAGGCTCCCTGCGTGGCTGGGCACAGCAATCGTTAGGTTTGACCTCCTCTGAAAGTGGAATTTTATTTAGCTTAGTGTTTGCTATTAAATAGCAAATTCTAAAATGGGTTTCATAGAACAGCAGTTCTGAGGTGTCGTTTCGTCTGTCTGTCTGCCTCTCTCTTCCTCACGTGCGCGCGCGCGCGCACACACACACACCTCATTTACTCATAAAGAATTCTGTGGTCAATTAAGTTTGGTAAATTTTGAGTTAAATCTGCAGCTAAGAAAACCGTTGTATTTATCAAATCTTTTCCTTCCTTTGCTGCTATACGTTTTAAGTCTCTAAGAGGGATGATCTATTGTTCATAGGGAGCTGATCCCAGAGCACTTTTTCTGGAAGCATCTGATGGGACTAGTTTTGCATATACCAGCAGGAGGTGGCTACAGTTAGATCACTTTCACTTACATCTTCAACTTCCCCAAGGAACCCTGAAGGCTTTTATGCAGGAAAGCTTTCTTTTCGTTTTCTGATTCAAAATACAGAATGCTATTTTCTCTTTCCTCATGGTCCACTGGGACAAAGGAAAATAAAATTGTGCCCTTTTATGGTAACTCAATCAAATT